CCCGGCCCCCTTCCTCCCGCCAGTCCCACTCCTCCCCCCCGCCCACAATCAAGTGTGTCCAGTATCTGGGGGGGTGGTTTACCAGGTAACCCTACTTAAGACAGAGGCCACTTTACATGACATTCTAATTGTCAGCTATTCCATAGTTATGCAATCTTGATCAGAAGTTGCTAACAAGCAAGGATAAAACTAATTGCATGACAGTGTGCTCCTCACAGCTGCATTAAAAAAAAACCATGAGGCCACTCACCAGTTTACTGGGGGAAAGGTATTCATCCATAAGTAACTCTCCATCATCTTTAATCAGTGGGCTGGGATTCAAGAGACCTTGCCACCTCAAATCAGTCACCCGGAGAGTGGCTGAGCCTGGACGGAGGACTCCGCCAAGGTTCTGGCTTAGCTCCATTTCAATATGGCCTAAGCAATAAAACAAGAGCAAGAGCTAGTTTTCTTTTTCAGTATTCACCACATACTCTTAGCAAAAGTTAATTTCACTTATCTTGCGAGTTGGCAGGATTTCCACAAGGGATTATAAATGACCAAAAACAAATAGAAAGTAAACTGATTCATAATCAGCTACCCAAGCAACTTCAAATTTATTCTCTATGTTCCTTTTCACTTTTAGCCTCTAGTGATCTTTCAGGTCCTGTCTTGCCATGATCAATATAGACTATAAGCTTTTGGGGAGAGGAGCATTGTCTTTTACTAGTTATATAAAACACTATACTATACACAAAAATGTTCTAAAAAACCACTAAACCTGTGTGTGTGTGCGCGCGTATGCACATGCACATGCACATGTTGGTGAGAGTTAAAAGCAGCCAGTTGTACCTGAAAAGTTGTGTGGCCTTTTTTGCATCACACAATGATTTTTACAGCTATTTACTTCTATTTGGCAGCAAATAAATACCAAAGATGGAGAAACTACTGTTTAAAGAAATTAATATGAGGCAAGACAGAAAAAAACTTTCCTCGGTTGAGGAAGCTCCTGCAGTTTTTCCACATTTTCCATTCCTTTTATGAGGTAATTCCGCATAGTACCTCTTATCAGAAAAGTGATTAAATCATCTAGATAATCATACTTGCCTGATAAGCTTTTAGAGAGACAAGGAAAATGCGGTTTATTGAACCAACTCGGTGAAAGAGAAAAGCTTTCAGGCTTACAGAAAACTATTTTTCAGGTCTTTTATTGTTTTTCTCTGTGAGTTTATTGGGGAGCACAGTGGTCTTCTTGTTTCCCCCACAGAATTGTTATTGAGGCATTTAGAGAATGGGAGGATTTACACTGCATATTGTCATGGGCCATGGATTTTGAAAGGTGTATTGTGGGTTATGTTGATGACTGTAACAGGAGAACTATAGCTGTGGGTTTTGCATCTATTGTTATGGCAGGGTTCAGTGCCACTTTGGTCTGGTGTTCTACATTACATTTTCAGAAGCAAACGAGGGAAATTGAGTCTAGAGAATTCACTACAACGTGGGTGCACAACCAGTTGAAAAAACATACTCAACCCAAAGTTTATCACTGATTCACTGTCAGACTGGGAAAATGTATCTAGTGGGGTCCTGAAGGGGCCAGTCCAGGCTCCATTACTTTTCATTAGTGGCTTGAATAATGGAGTGGAAAGTATGCTTATTAAATATACAGGTAACACCAACTTGGAGAAGTTGAAGTACTTTGGAAACAGCATTCAAAGGGATGTTGACAAATTGTTGAATTCAGACCAGTTCTACAATATTAAATTAAAAAAAGGTAGGTGCAAAGTATTTGACTTAGAAAGAAAAATCAAATATAGAACTACAAAATGGAGAATGGTGGGCTAGGTGGCAATACTGGTGAAAGGGAATTGGGGTTGCAAAAAAGGCTAATATCATTCTGAAGTGCATTAACAGGAGTAAGGTATGTAAAACATGGGAAGTAACCATCCCACCATACTTGGCACAGGTGAGGGCCTTAGCTGTAGTACTGTGTCCGGTTCTGAGCACCCACACTTTAAGAAAGATGTGGGCAATTTGGATAGACAGTCCAGAAGAGAGTAACCAAAATGACAAAAGCCTCAGAATATCTGACCTCTGAGGAAGATTAAAGAAAAGGGAAAGTTTAGTCTTTAAGAAGACTGGGATGGGAGACTTGATAACAGTCTGCAAATATGTTAAGGGCAGTTTTACAGAGGATGATGATCGGCTGTTCTCCATGTCCACTGACAAAAGGTGGGACAAAAAGGAGTGGGCTTAATTTGCAGCAAGGGAGATTTGGTTAGCTATTAGGAAAAATATTTCTAATGATCAGGTAGTAAAGCTCTATAGTAGGCTTCTAATGGAGGTTGTGGATTCTGTGTCTTCAAAGATTTATAAGAGTAGGTTGGACAAACACCTAGATGGTTTAGATTTACTTGTCTCTACCTCAGCACAGGAGGCTAGACTAGATCAATTCTTGAGGTCCCTTCCAGCTCTACTTTTCTATGATTCCACAGAAAAAAATGCCTACTGTGTCATCCCAAATAGTTCACTTCTCTGAACCATAACACAGTTTAATACCTAAAAATATTAAAGAGATGATTCTTCTGCACCTACTTGCTGCTTTTAATACTTTTAGCCTCTTACAAGCACCATAAAACTAAACTTGAGTGGAACCATGAGGCCCATAGCTTCTAAAACGTCAGCTGTCATTAAAAAGTTGGGGACGAGCTTAAAAATCCTGAGTTCCTAATTCTTCAGATGATACCACAACCCATATATTTTCATTTTTTTTTTCAAATTACCTACCATTTGACCCTCTTTTCCATTCTAATTTATTTCACTATCACATCATTCTTTTACAAAGTTCTGTTTATAGGAGAGACCCTTCCCGTCCATTTTCAGCCATTGAAAGCTTGAATTTTTTCAGCTAGGGCCTCAATATACTTTCCTTCCTATAAGAATATAGGTTGGGTTTTTCAAAAGTGCCCGCGGGACACAGAGTTTTGGTTTTTGTTATATAGTTGGCTCTTTCTTACATGTTCCTACAGATGAAGGCAAGTTTTAACTTAAAAACTAGTATCAAACTCCAGCTGGAATACAGAAACACAAATAAACATCTCCCAAATGGACATATGTCCTGTACATGCTGCAGAAACAACATTAAATTACACCCATGTTGTTGCCATGACCAGATTTGCAGACAACTCACTGAGACAATTTATATTAAGTATAATAATAATATATGTGAGAATGTGATGTGATCAGAAAACCCCATGCTACACCTGAACAGAGAGATACTAATGTCCTGTCCTTGGCCATGCAGTATGTACATATCAGTTTGAACCATGATCTCGGATTCCCAGGTCATGTCAAGAAACACTCCACTGTGTTTTCTGTCATCCAAGTTTTGTGAAGTAGCCTTACACCACAGTTGCACGTAATGCCAGAAAAGCAATTCAATCAGCTTTGATCTTGCTTGTCCCTAGCTGACGGTAGGTTTTCTGGCATACGCCTATGCAAATTGCTGGAAAGAATTTGGTTCAGTTAATCTTGGCAATATTAGCTTTATTAAAGCATTTGGCTAACATCAGTCCCCAAATGACAAAAAAAAAAAAAAAATTAGATCTTGCTGATATGAAGCAAAAACAGAACAGAAGTCTGTAAAATAAAAAGACAAAAGTAATCAAAAGAAGCTTATCTTTTCTTGGAAAATTGATTTTCCAGTGTCTGACTAGGACAACAATGTCCACTGCATGGATGTATGACCGTGTTTGACAGATAAATAAGTATGGCTGTTTTGTTACATTATTTATAAAGTTTTATTAGAGAGCTGTGCTCCCTGTTTGCTACGCTCATCCACCCCCATCTCTCTGGGGGTAGGCAGACCCGGCTCTCCCGACAGCTGCCAGGGAGGGCCAGGCTGAGGCATAGCAGCCCCCCCCCACCAGAGCCCCTGCCAGCCCCAGCTCTCCCCTGGGCTGTCAGGCAGGGCCAAGGCCGCACCAGACCTCGCTCTCTGCCCAGCTATTGGGCAAGGCTGAGGCTGTGCCATCTTTGGCTTTCCCTGCCTGGCTGTCAAGCATGGGTAAGGCCATGCCAGCCCTGGCTCTACCCCTTTCCCACCACCCAGCTGCGCCAGCCCCAGCTCTCCACCCCCCCGGCTGCTGGGCAGAATCAAGGCTGGGCCAGCCCCGGCTCTCCCCCCGACCTCTAGCTACCAGGCAGGCCAAGGCTGCACCAGTCCCTTCCCCTCACCACGCCAGCCCTTGCTTTCTCCCCTCAGCCGCCAGAGGGAGAGGGGCTTGGCCGAGGTCTCACCAGACCCCACGGTCTCCCCCTGGCTGCCGAGGGTGGGGAGGAGTGAGGCTGCGGCAATCCCGGCTCCCAAGCACTAGGGAAAGGGGAGGGGAGGAGGGAGAGAGGAGGCAAGCAGGATGCAAAGTGACATCATGACGTCACTGTCGTCCCACAGGAAAAATCTGTTTTGAGAGAGAGAGTTCTTTTTAATTCAAGCAAAGATATTGCCATCAGATACTGCCTACTGTATAGAGTCACTGTGTTTTTCTGGAGTTGTTTATATTGAGAATCCTGAATTATTGATGTGACCCATCAATTGCAAAATGCAACTATTCTAACAGCAGTAGTGTGCAGGCACGGGTTCTAAAGAGTAAAAGAAATTATTTATCTCATCATTTAAGTCCATTGCTACAACATTTCAAAATATCCTCCCATTTCTGGCACATTTGTTGATGTAGCGTTTACTTAAGGTTCAACAATCAGATCAATCTGAGGTTTAATATCTGAAGGGATGCTCTCAATTCTGTATTTCCTGCTTTTGAGCTGTTACTCATAATTAATAGTAGTAGTAAGGACAATAATATTTTCATTACAAATTGCCTTTGTTATTGTCAGTAAACAATATCAATCTTCTAAGATGGATTTCCATCATGTTAACACAGAGGAGATAGGATTTTGAGGAATGATGTCCAAAATGAGAAATGCAAGACAGTGATGCAGGAATCCTAAAGGTGAAGTACACGGCTCAACTAAAAATCCAGTTAATCCCAGAACTGTGTGCTGGGATAGCTGGCAAAATTCCTGCATTCACAGGAGGCATATGCAGTCATATCTTCTCTGATGGTAACAGAACTTCCTTTGTCCAGGTGAGAAGGGGGAAAAAATTAGGCTAAAGGAAATGATGGAAAGCCAGGGAATCTAGGACTTTTGTGAGCACATTTGTGTGCAGGTCAATTGTGAGATGACAGTAGCCACCAGCAACAGCAAAACTCACTAAGCAGATGCCCTTGGTTTTCCTTTAATCCTACCAATATCCTAAAGCTCTCTTTGGGTTCTCTGCTACTCTAAATACAGACTGGCTTCTGAGCTCCTTACACACTGCAAGCTTTCCTTGGCTCTACCACATCTTCCATTCTGAAACAGGTAAAGTAGGTCACCTT